CACCGCTGAACTCGTGCCCACCGTACCAACCGCAGAACCTCTGCCGGAAGCTGCAGACACACCATCCACAGGGACCCCCTCCACTTCAGCTTCTTCGTCACTTCCAGCGCCACTACCTTCTCCGGCTGAGATATCCTTCATGGACTCTATAGCGCGCTTCACACACGCCGACTGGCATGAGGAACAACAAAAGGACGTCACTTGCAACTCCGCCATTCACTGCATTCAACTTGGGCAACCTTTGGCATTGCCCACAGACTTTTACGGCGACACCCCAGAACACGTGCGTCCTTCCCTCACCAACATCAAGGAATTGGCCATCAAAGGTCGCATCATCACCGATGACGACGGCAATCCGCTCTTGGTTCGACAATTTACCAAACCGCCAAACTCCGACAACGATCGTCCTAGCGGTAGAGCTGCTCGCCTTCTCGACAATGAACCCACGCGCATCTATGTGCCAGTACACATGCGTCCTTGGGTAATGCTTCAATGCCACTCCAACACTCTGTGCCACCTTGGCACCGCCAAAACCATCAGCCTTCTGGAACAACTCTACTGGTGGGTTGGCATGAGCTCTTGCGCCCGCTTCTGGACTCGACAATGCTACACATGCCAAGGCCGCAAATCAGCACGACAAACTATACGATGGCCCATCCTCACCATTCCCCTGCCATCAGGGCCAGGTGTGGCCGTCAGCGTGGACTACTTTGGACCGCTCCCTACTACTCCACACGGCAACGCCTACATCTTACTCTTCACCGACCGCTTTAGCAGGCGCGCCGACATGTACGCAGTCTCCCCTGCGAAATACACGGCCGAAGGGACCGCCAATATCTTCGTCAATCAATACATTCCACTCTGGGGATGTCCAGTGAGCCTTCTTTCCGACAATGGTCTCCACTTCACCTCGCAGCTTTCTGACGCCATCTTCAAACTTCTCCGCGTACGCAAAATCACCACCAGCGCCTATCACCCTTGCGGCAACGGCGGCGTGGAACGCGTCAACCACATAATGGCTCAAACGCTAGCTGTATCCGTCAATGAGAGGCAAGATGACTGGGATCTACACCTCCCGCATGTGGAATTTGCCTACAACAACACCGTGAGCGCCGCCACAGGGCTAGCACCCAACCAAGTTCACATCGGCCGACTCGCCCGCTTCCCCATGACCGTTTTCGACAACATCTACGCTCGCGGACACCAAAGCCTGGCTAAGGATCAACTTGAATACCACAACCTCGATGTGGACAGACAACGGCCCGCTTACGACCTCGTTCGAGAGCAACACGCGCTCAACGTCGACAAAATCGAGCGCAGGAATTCGTCACTATCGGATGCACTTCACCGACGACCCGTCTACAAGACAGGACACTGGGTCTGGGTCTACAATCAGGTATCGACAATTCGCCAAGGAGCTTCCACCAACGCCTCTGCCTCCGCCTCGGACTCGCAGGTTCTCAAAGCCAAGCTCTCCTTAAACTGGACTGGGCCCTTCAAAATTCTTGCCGTAGGCCCTAGCGACAAAGCACCAGATGGGCGTCCGATCGCCGACAAACTCCTCTACTTGGACCTGCCCAACGACATGCCCGGCGCCGACGCCAAAAACCGCGTCTCCGTAGTACGCTGCAAGCCGTGCCACCACGCCCACGACACTGACATACCCCGCTTCCTGCCTGCTGGCCTTACAAGATACGTCCTCAACAACTACACCAACAAATCACCTCCGTACCACGTCACCGCGGATGACGTCTCCACGCCCCTTCAACGCCTTGAAGTAGAGAAAATCACAGGACACCAAACTGTCCGCGGACGCGGCGGAGTACTCGCTGCTCTCTACCAAACACACTGGACAGGCCTGCTTCGACCCTCCTGGGAACGAGAAATCGACCTACAACACTCGCGTCACCACATCCTTCGCTACTGGTGTGGCACACCGGATCAGCACGGCCAACAAAACCGTCTGTACCGCAACATGCGCATAGGAGCCGCTGCTCGAGAACTCTCCCGCTCCAAAGGAGAACGTGCGTCTTCACCCGGCTACACCTATGTCCCCCGCGACACCTACATTCGCCGCTTCAGCGCCACCGCCATACCCGTAGGAGCTTACTTCTGGTACAAAGCCAAAGACGCGCTCTGGTGGTTGGGCAAAATATCGCGGCACACCACCACTGCTGACCTCTACATCGTCCGCTTCCTGGACGACCCCGGGCCGATCAAGATCTCCCTCGCCCCCGGCCACTACAGCTCCGAACATCACGCCGTCTGCGGTTCCTGGTGTCTGCAAGTACATCGCAACAGCTCCTTCGTGCGTGGCATCCGAAGGAACGTCGACGAATCCAGAGGAGCCACAACAGCTCCAACTTCGGCCACAACGGCGCCCGCTTCAGCAACAACAGCACCGCCTTCAGCCACTGCCCGGTGAAAATACGTTGTTGGGACACCGGCGACCGCCTGTTCTTGTTTTCTTGTTTGAATACATTCCCTCGCCATGTCAGCAGCTCTTTCCACCATGGTGCAATCTGCCCCTGGCTGGTTACGACCCTGGCGCTGGTTTGTACCTTGTATTTGTTTTTATATCGTTTTTTGTGTTTGTTTTTTTTTCTGTGTTACTTCTTGCGCATCTGACGCTATTGCCTCATTTCTATTTGGACACCGTTGCCACCCAAACACCTCGCTCTTACAGCCGTCTGCTGGCGTGATAAGTCTTGGCCTACGCTCTTGTGTTTGGCGCTCGACCATGCTGCCTACTTTCCTCTGTAGCCGTACCGTGTTTTTCTTCCGCTACCTTTTGAGCTCCTGCGAGCACGTACTATTGTTGCTCCCCCGCAGCTCGTGTCTTCTACCGTCGACCCCCGTAGCCTACGACATCGACACCCCCGTTTTGAGCTTTCGAGTGACATTGATCTTGGGCCTGGTCCACTATATTTCCATTTTTTATATTTCAGCGTCCACTCCGACAACCGCCGCCTGTTTGTCGCCCCCCCCCATTTATTGGACCGCGCGCGGAGCACCGTACGTACTGGCTCTCGCTTTATAGCCCGCTCCCGCTGCGCCGCTGTCTCTGACCATTTTTGCTTGTTCTGCTTTTGTATTAATTTGAGCATTTTTCTTGTGCTTTTCTTGCGTATCCGGAACTATCCTGGCGTCAAACCGTCGTTCTTCGTGACCCCCTTGCAATCGATAGACCCCCCGGCCATTTCTTCTCTCTTTATCTGCTTGCTTATGTAGCTCTGCCCCTGCTTCTATCTTTGGACGTTTTCCGCACTTCTTTGCTCAGCTTTCATAGCCACTGTCAGCCTGCACGCTGCTTGCCCCAGCTTTCTCCTATTTCAATTCTGCCCTTTTGCTAGCCGAGAGCGTAGCTCTCTTGAAATCCACGTACAGGTGTGGGAGAGGTTTGTGAGGCTCCGTATCCTCGAGTCTAGAGTAGATGCCTCAGATGGATTGTTATTTCCCCCTCTTCAGGTTCTAGCCTCTGCGTATATGTCCCCTCAGGGTGGGCTAGTGTTACGGTATTTGGACCCTTGGACTAAGATACCATCTGGGCGGGTATATCTTTCAGGAATATCCCGACCACCTGCCCAGGTTCCCAGTATTCCGACTTTAGGCAGGTAGCAGTACAATGGTTACTAGCAGTAGCAAGCGAGTGCAACCGTTCCACCTTGCTCAGTGTTTTGCCTGGTGTTCCCTGGTGTTGCCTGGGAGTGAGCGATAGCGAGCGACTGAGAGAGAAAGGAAGGATAAGGAAGGAAACAGGCTGAAGAAGCGAAGCGGCTCCAACCTGCACACAGTGGTCGGACTAGCTCCACACTAAACCCGCGTCAGAGATCGTCACATCTCGTCACACACCGCGAAAAACAGAAATCGTTGATTCTCGAACAGGGCGGCAGTAGAGGCTGCTCAAAACTTACATTTCACGCGTCTTCCTCCACAGGCCCACTTTGAAATCAAGATAAAAATTCACACTATTCTAAATTCAAGTCAATAGAGCCTAAGGCGCTCAAACAAGGTCAGTTTTGAGGGTTAGGTTAGGCATTCTATTGTCATCAGTAGAGGACATCATGAAGAGGCGTCGTGCGTGCTGGCATGTTCAGTTTTGCTACTGGAGCGGAAGTATCGAAGGTCGCAACAGCTTTGAAAACAGTCAGAAATCTGCGCCGGAACCAAGCGGCATCCAACATTTGTCATAGCCATGCTCGCCGCCACCGACCCCAATCTCCTGAACTACAAGTTTACAGCAGTAGCTGATGCCACAGCTACCGCTGACACCCCTCCGTTCAGGGGTTTACGGTCCGTGGCGGCGAGCATGGCTGTGACAAATGTTGGATGCCGCTTGGTTCCAGCGCAGATTTTGGACTGTTTTCAGAGCCTGCTGCGACCTTCGATATTTCCGCTCCAGTAGCAAACCTTAATGTGCCAGCATGCACAACGCCTCTTCATGGTGTCCTCTACTGATGACAACAGAATGCCTAACCTAACCCTGGCGGGAAGGTTGTTTTCTTTCTCTGTATAGGATTAAAGTATGGGAAAAGAGCCAGCGTAAAAACCCCTTTTCTGCACCCCCTTAACGGCCACAAGTGACTGCCAGAGGTTCGGGCGGTAACTGCTGTATGTAGTCCCGTTGTATGCAGTCTACACGATGCCGAGCTGTTATAAGGTACCCATAACGCTATCATTCTTCGCTCTCACCGTTTTTCCTTATGCCTAGCGCCAGGACGGGGCAGCCTGCGGGACTGAGGTATCCGCACACACAACACGCATGGCAGCAACAGCAGAGGCCAGACACCAGACAGAGCGTGTGGAGGCAGGAAACATGCGAAAAAAAAAGAAGGGGGGGCTCCGCGAAAGAATAACCGGAGAGATGACCACGCACGCCCACAGTTTCCTAAAAATGCGGCGGAACTGCATACACTTCTACTGCAAACGCAGCTGTGCCAACGTGCCAAATGCTGTAGTGCCAACACGCTCTCCTCTGCCCCTCCTTCGCTCTGTTAGCAATGCCGACTTCGAGGGAAGATGTAAAGGGGCTCGTCCCACTCAACATCTTGGTGTCGGTGAGTTGGGATGGAGATCAATATTGCAACTGGTTGAATGTACGCGTACGTTCCGTTCATGTTCCAACTCAAAAGGTTGAAGATGCACTCCGACGTTGTACTTCCCTCCTGTAGTAGCGCTTCATCTCCTGTGGGGCTGTGGCGCTGGTGTGCCATCTGCGCTGCAGCCAGACACCAAACCCTTTAAGCTGCTGGTAATATGTTTTTGCGCGTCGCAGGCTACATTTACCATGCACCTGGCTGCCATCTGGTAGGGTTTGCAAATAACAGCGGCACAGCATCAGTTGTTGCCGGTTCGATATTTTCGGAACCAAATCAAGCCCACGAGCTTGCGGTCTACGAAGTAATATTTAGCAAGCATTTTCTGTGCGTGTATTTATTATTCCTTCATTTAGCAAGCATTTACGAATCAGTGTAGGGGTGAACTGCTGCTGCTGCTGCTGGCGACTCCCAATGCAAAACATCCGGCACAATCAAGCATCGCATCCCCGCCTGCATTTTATAAACACGTGCTTTGCTGTTTCAGGCGTTACTGACGGACATGTATCAGATTACGATGTCGTACGCGTACTGGAAAGCTGGGCGGCACAACGAGAATGTGAGAAGACAAAAGTAGCAGGGCCCATTCACAATGTTCCAAGACTTAGGGTTATGCTATAGTGAATGGTCTAGCCTTGTACAGTACGTACTTCCACAATAATACATACTGTTGTCTACATTAGCCTACGCATAAAAACTGCGGTAGTCTTGCACAGCATTTACGTGTAGAACATTGTTCAATGCTTGTACGGCCGCTGCCTCCACCCTCTCTCTTTGTGGACTGTCGGTCCGCGTATGTCCAGGCGGTGTTCGACCTGTTCTTCCGCAAGTGCCCCTTCAAGGGCCAGTTCGCCATCTTCGCAGGTGCGGTACATTCTACGTTACCGGGTGGGCTCCTCAAACTGCGCCCTGTAGTTTGCCACACCCTCCGTTATACATAAGCGAAAGTCAACCACCCATTGGAGTATCCTCAGAATTTGATCAAGTGCGGGAGACGTGGTGTTTACCCCAAAATGCACACATAGACCGCGCTGATTTTCTGTTTTGGGATCTCACCGCCTTCTGTGTAGGCAAGCGCCGGCCGTCTCGCCGTTGTTCTGCTGTAGTTTCCAAACGATTTACCATGTTGTGTACCCCAAGCACCGTACGTCATGAGGGCGCCACTCTTGCTCCGCCATTCGCACGACCGTCCAGGTTTGAGCGAGGTGATCGCACTGATGAACAGTTTCACCTTTTCCCCCAGCGACATCGCCTACCTGCGGACGGTTCTCCCTCACTGCGAGGAGGCATTTTTCGACTGGCTCGGGCAGCTCGACTGCCGAAACGTGCGCCTGTACGCTCTGGAGGAGGGCTCGCTCTGCTTCCCCCGAATACCGCTCATCCGGGTTGAGGTGGGTGATGGTACGGCATGAGAAGTGATGGTGCGCACGGAGTGATGCAATTGTGGTGATGTGGCAGAAAAACAGGCAGTCCTTTAGAAACGAATGGACTTACGGTACGCTCGTTGCGTTCTTGTGTGAGTTCTCGGACTCTCCCAATGCCCAAACCTTCGTGTCAAAGCGTCTTATTGGAAGCAAGGTTACCTTTCTGACTCTTTGTGGCGACCCTGTGTTCCTCTTCCCTGCATTTCGTTTCGATATGCCGCCTGCGCCTCTTACTCATTGGTGGACCGGAAAGCCTTCCTACCCCAAACGCTTTTATTCGTAGATGGTCGCAGACACGAGCTTCAAACCCTGGACGTCTCAATGTGCGTCGTTTCTCCTCCGTCCTGCTCCTGCCCCTATGTTGTGCTTCGTACCTGGATGCACGGACTATGCTGAAACAACAGGGTCCGCTGGCTGTGGCCCAGCTTTTGGAAACCCCGTTGCTGAACCTCATCAACTACCCGTCGCTCATCGCCACAAATGCGGCCAGGCTGAGGTTAGCGGCCGGGGCGGACAAAACGCTTTTGGAGTTTGGGCTGCGGCGGGCACAGGTACGATAGGGAATGCCTTCCGTGGGTCGCAGTTTTTGTTTTCGTGCTGGGAAACGATGGTAGTAGGCGGTCTCTGCCACTACTTCTGTACTTGATATTTGCGACGGTTTCAGCAGAACAGTGGTAGAAACCCTTCGGTTGTTTGACAAATGAGGCGCCCTCGGGGAGGAATATAGTCGTGTAGGCCATGCTTTGCTTTTTGCAGTATCGAACTGTTTTCTCAAGATTAATCGGTACTTGGTTTCGTCGCAGGGAAAAAACGAGCTGGTACAATCGAGGTACCACATTATGCCGCCGGGGTTCATGAGATGTATTATTCACGCACACGGTTTCGCAATTATGTAGGCCATACGAAGACCGTGGCGTGTGATGAAAACGATGACTCCATTCATATCAAGCACGGTGACAGGGGCTCACCTTGGACGGAAGGCACACACATGGCAGCTAGACAAACGTTCTGCGGGGTTTCCATGGTTGACTTCTGTTCTGTTGATGTTGATCAAGTGCTCTTGTCTCCCCTTGACTGTGGCAGGGTCCGGACGGAGCCCTGTCCGCTTCTCGCTACTCGTACATCGGGGGGTTCAACGGCACCAGCAATGTTCTCGCGGGGAAACTGATTGGCGTTGATATCCGAGGCACGCACGCCCACGCATTCGTGCAATCTTACACTTCCTTTGAACAGGTGCCCGCGGCAATATTTAGCACCCACGAGGCGGCCACAAGGCCTTACAGCAGTGCGCTTGCGGAGGGAGAGCACCTTGTATCAGTTGAACTTGTTCGTTTTTTTTGTCAGTAATGGTTGGACAAGAAGGGAAGGGGAAATCCGTACCATATTTTTGGCGATCCTTGTTTTTTTCACTTGGGGTCGTCAAGCAACAACGGTCTTGTCTGGTTGCATTCCACCGGCACCTTACTAAGATTGTTGCCCATACCGTACAAAGCCCACATTTCATATGCATCTATCTTTGCACGGAGCTACCAGTCCTACTTGGGCAAGGTGTTCGCGTTAGTTTGTGTGTCTTTCATGTCTCAGGATTGTGTCTCGCCGGGGTGAGGGGTGACAAAACCAAGACGCAAGAGGCGAGGCTCGCCGTCTCTTCTTGTGTCTTGATTGATACCACACTCCCCGATCCCCCTCTGCACCCTCAGGCGTTTATCTCTCACAAACTTGTGCGCCGGCAACCTCGTTTGCTCGGGCGCAAAGCTGTCTACGTTTTTCTTCGCGGATGCATAGCTTGTGTTTTGGTGGGTACGATGATGCCTCCTGCGTTTTCCTTTTTGGTTGGCGCGCACACGTAGATCAAGGATCCCACCCTGGACGGGAAGGACTTCGTCGCGATCGTCAAGGGGTACCGTGACCGCCCGGTCTGCGGTAAGGGCTCCGGGAGCAGCAACGACGGCGAGCTCGCGGCGTTCACCGCGTACGCCCAGGCGTTCCCCGACGGCTTCGTCGCGCTCGTGGACACGTACGACACGCTTCAGTCCGGGGTACCCAACTTCCTGTGCGTGGCGCTGGCACTGGATGATCTGGGGCACAGGTGCGCTCGGCTAGTGTGGTTGGTAGTGGTAGTGGTGGCGGTGGCGGCTGTGTTCGCGGTGGTCTAGGTTGTTGTTGTCTCTGTCGCTGTTGGAGCGGTGACGGTGATGGTGGTGGGGGGTGACGGCAGTGATGGCGAGGTTGCTGTTGCCGAAAAGATGTGTCGCGCCGTATTTTTGCGCTTGCGGTCACCACTCGAACCGATGGAACCCGACATCGTGATACGTGCTTTTGACTCGGCAAAGACGAACGCCGAAGTGCTTTCGGCGTGTGGGTAGCCGGCTCGTACGAATAGCACGCGTTCCGTGAGACAAGCCAACACGTATTCGTAGCTTGACTTGAAGTTGGGTTGAGCGTATCGAACACTCGGAACAGGCATTTAGCGTGCTTCATGAAGGGGCTTGTACCCAACCGGGACACAAATGGAAATATAAAATCAACACAATTTCTGCCATGACCATAGATTGACGTAGGCATAGTTTGACGCACGATTGCTCACCTCCCCTGTGTATGGGACTACTACTACTACTACTTCGAAGGGCGCTGGGGTGCCGGCTGGACTCCGGGGACCTGAGCTACCTTAGCCAAGAGGTGCGAAAAATGACGACCGAGGCCGCGAAGACCTTCAACCGCCCGTTCCTTGCCACCACAAACATCGTGGCCAGCAACGACATCAACGAGGAAAGTCTGCACTACCTCGCTGACCAGGTGTGGTTCCTCTCACGTGTTCTACTTGTATGCGTCTTGTTTCTTTGCTTTTCTTCGGACGGGCTCTGCTGTCCGAAGGTGTTTTGTTGCCTTTGACCACGACAGGACGCACTTCCCCTTTTCTGTGTCCTCTTTCGAAAAGCATCGAGAAGAGCAGGGGGGAACGAGATCCGTTCTTTTCTGCTCTCCTACGGATGCGTTTGCTTTTGGCGGTGTGCTCTACGGGCGTTCTTGAGCGCGGCTCCACCGTATCACCCGCTCACTCACTGCCTTTAGGGACGGGTATGTGTTTCTTCACCGATGCCTGCGGCAGGGGGAACCCGTCTCTCACGCGCTTCCACGTTGGATTATTTCACTCGTTGCCATCGAGTACCGCCTCTACTCTCGTGGGCGAACAGGGGTCAACATGAATCTGCTCATGACCTCGCTGTCCTGATTGTCTGGCTCCACACGCGCACATCGCTCACTCGTGCAGGGCCACGCCATCGACACCTTCGGCATCGGGACGAACCTGGTGACGTGCCAGGCGCAGCCGGCCCTCGGCTGTGTGTACAAGCTGGTCTCCATCGAGGGTGTGCCCAGGATAAAGCTGTCGCAGGTGAACCCCCGCCCCGTTGCCCTCGAATCGTTCACCGGCCTTCTGCAATGCTCCAATGATTTGTATATGCAGCGTCTTCGACCGCGAGCACCTTTTGGTCCATTTCGAGTCAAGCCGAGCGGAGATCGGATATTAGTAGCAGCACGCGCACCGTCATCGCGTTTCGTGGGCGTTGTGCCTCCGGGTGTTTCTTGGGCTGCCCCTGGTACGGTGAGGGAGCGACATGGGATCAGTTCAGAGTTCATCTATCGCCGGCCGGAACGACTCGGGCACACGAGACCATCACCTAAAAACTGTTGCCCGGGCGGAACACAAGATGTGCCAGGCTGCTGGGCCTGGTCGGAGGAATAACAGAGCAAAGAGACAGCATCCAAATCCTTCAAGCCAGCGTTTCTTGTTTCTCGACCTGATACAATTGTAGCCAAATCTTGTCCCACGTACTCGGTTCCTTCGTCCTCTTACCGAAGTACCAGTTTCATCCTGAGACCGAAAAGAAAAACTGGATTTAGTTTCTGGACAGCACGAGAAGTTTCCCACCGCAACGTCGTTTTGATATTCAATCTACCGACGACCAGACGAAGCATGCATTGGGACATCCTTTCCGTCCGGTCTTGGCTCGAAGCCACCGCTCTGTGTTTTTATGTCTTACATGCCTCCCAAGCCACTTCCATGACTAAAATAATCTCCTGAATGAAGAAAGCTGCCTTTCTCTCACCTCCCTCTGCCTCTACGCTTTGCTACGCGCCCGGTCGACCTGCGGCACAACGGTATTTTGGGCACAACGGGAGTCAGACGACGTCTAAGATTACCATTCCGGGCCGCAAGGCGGTGTACAGATTACTGGGCGCCGACAGAGTTCCCATCTTGGACATCATGCTCAAAGACGGGGAGGAGCCGCCGCAGCCGGGAGTCCCCATACTCGCGAGGTACATGCACATCGATGGTACCTTGGGCGCTTATCGTAGACGGCGTGGTTGAAGGGCTCTGTTAATTGCGAGAGAGTTGTCTGGTGAGGGAGACCACCGCATGGAGCGAGCCATCCTCGATTCGCTCGGAAAGTAGGGCACTCAGACGAATGCATGCTACAGGAAACCGATACATACTATGGGGCCAATGTGCGCTTTCAACTTTGCCGATAAACTGAAACACACTGCTACGTTGCGGTACAACTCTGAACTCGTTGCTAAGGTACCGACAGGGCATTGGAGATATTACGAAAAGGGCCTCGTTCACTCTTGGCCTCAACACTTTGTGAACAGCATTAATCATTAGGTTGAGTCATCAAGATAGTCCGGGTAAAGGAAACGGCCACCTCAAGAGGAAGTCGATTTGGCAAACCAGGCACCTGGTGCTCTCCCGCGCGTGATTGGGTTGTATTTACTGCGTGAGGTGCGTCGATAATTCTCACGTTTCCTTGAGATGTCTTGCTCTATGCTATATGCAAGCGAAAGCAATGGCTTACAGTCCTCGCCACGCTTACAGCACTTTGAGGCGTGCTCCATCTGAAGCCAGGAATGGAGGTATACGAACTTGGTTTTTCAGGCTTATACACAGACTTATGTGGTCGGAGGTTGGTGTTTGTTTTCCCGCTGCTTACTTTCTGTGCACGTTCGGTTAAATCTGGGTGTGTTTGCTGGAGAGCAATTTGCAATTTTTCTCGGAATTTCTCCAACACGGCAGGTGTGGGTTGCCAGTTAGCATGCTGCAAACATATTTGAGCGTGTCACCACCTTCTCTCGAGACCAACCTCACACGCAATTCTTTCATCACCTTCCGCGTTCAAATGCTCAACCATCTCTCGGTGTGAGGGGCCTTGTATGGTGTACTATTTTTGTGAACGGCGGTGGAGCAGCGCTTGGATAATGACTGTTATTTCAGCGCCAACAGATGTTGACTGCCAGGGTTACCGCAGGTGTTGCTCCCTATAGGGAATCACAAGAAGGATAGGCAACGTTTTAAGCCCCTGTCCAGTCTAGACGCGGTTGAGCTCAGCGGGGCCGCGACCTCGTGCTCCTTCCACGGGCATCGGCGTTCCATGAAAGCAGAGGGGCGTCTGAAGCACGCCAAACCCTCCGTCCGCAAGCTGTTGATATGTACCCCATGGATTTGCTTTGAACGGGAAAAATGCCGCGCTACCACATCTGACTTGGAGCCGTTTCCCGCTGGTGCACGCGACTTGGTCAGCTCGCCTTTAGTGCCAATGTTTCGTCGCCTCGATAAAGAACCCCAATGCAGCTCATACTTCACCGTGATATGCATGGAGGTGGAGAGATGTAGGACCTGGAAGGAGAACATGTTATGTAGAATTAGGGATTGGCACCACGGCGATCTAGATTGACCCGCAAACGTCGGTCAAAGATACAAACTAACTCTAGACTCCAGTCTTTGCCGATGGTCTGCTGAGCGTCGCCAAGAGCCCCCTAAAAATATGACGATGCCCTTAGCTCCAATTTGCTGTACTGGAACAACAATTCGAACCCTGGAAGCACAACAGCAGAATGGAGCTGAGTAGGTTACACAGATATGTATGGAGTGAAACTTCTGGTGGAATTAGGGATCTCGTGCACAGCATCTGACCGTTCCTCGGGCAATTACTGTACCTCTCGGATCGTGATTCCTTTCTTTGTTGCTTTTCGTTTGTAAAAAGAAACATGCATTTTTTTGCCGTAGGAAGCATCACATGTCACAGCACAGCATTACGCGATGCGGTAGCAACTCCGGAATCTCAGGCCCTCATTTGTTCCCGACATGTTGTTGGGGCTCGTGACATGCTGTTGGGGCTCCTGAGAATTTGTTGGGACTCCTGTGTCTTTGAGATGCTGCGGACGTCAGACCGTTTTCCGTCTACCTTTGAGGTGTGCACAGAGAACATGGTTCTCATTGGTGCGCGCGGGATGAAGCGGTTTGGTACACTTGGTATACATGAAGCAAAAGCGGCGGGGGATTTCTCCGTGCTTTGTAACAGTTGATGAATCACGGAGGCTGGTTGCTGCTCTGCTGACGTTTCGTGAGGAAGTACAACAGCGCAACTAGTAATCTCTTCCGCCTGCTGAATATATTGCTGCTGCTGCTACTGCTACTGCTGCCACCGCTGCTTCTTCTGCTGTAATAATTTTTTTCAAACTTGAGCAGACACCCGTTCGTGGCAACTAAGCGCGCGAGGGTGACACCGACCCAGGTAGTCCGGTTGCAGGAGATGGTGTGGGATGGCCAAGCTGGAGGTGCAACCTCGGACATGCCCACCATCCACGAGGTACATGTATGGATAGGCCAGGAGCCAACCGTGTTCGGTTGACCCCCGGTGAAGACTCGACATCACTTTCCGTGTATTCTCAACGCACAGTCAACACTAACAATAGTCTTGGCGATTGTTGACCCCTGGTTGGCTTTCCCCCAGTATGGATGAGATAAACGCTTGTACACATACTAATTCGCTTGTTATTCAGTACCTCCTGGGAGGGCGGTGGATACCAGCTCTCCCAACACTCTGTCATGTTGGCGAGGTCGAGGGATTCCTCAAGAGGGGCACCAGCGCAGAGTAGGTGCATGCACCGACGAACTAGTGCAAAACGAAAGACACACGGTCGTGAAACGTGAAGCGCACCTAATTAGGGTAGGAGTGGACTACGTTCTGTGGTTTTGCTAGTTCATCCCTTCAGCACTACGGTGCATGGCCATGGCAGAAAGGCGCACGGCTCCAGCAATGCATGCATATCTTCCAGTAGCACGGTGCACTTTGATGAGGAGTCGGTCGGGCGAAAACGCGTACTGGGATGCTTGCTTGGTGGTGATGGGACAGCCAAAGGCGATGTCATTTGAACAGTATCGCCACGTGCGGAGGAGGAGGAGGAGGAGGAGGAGGAGGAGGAGGAGGAGGAGGAGGAATGCTTCCCACGAATGTTCTCGTTTTCTGTCGTCCCAACACCTGTATTTACCCGCAGACAACACCTTTCCTTGTTGTGCGCGTTTTCCTTTTTCGTTGTTTCGCTTTTGGAAAGGTGCGAGCGACGGTGGCAAAGGGGTTGAAAGAGGTGAGACGAAGACCAAGGAGACCCTGTGCCTGGGATACGCGTTCCGCTGTAGCTGAATATACCTGCTGATGTAATTCCGCTCCGTATCCGAGATCGCATAGATATTGTCATCCTCACTGGCTTCAAGGTTTTTGACTCGACAACAGGAGGTTCTGCGCCGATCATTTGTTGAAATGGTGTTGCGGCTGGACGGGCGGGTTGACGTGTAACTGTGCCATCGGTAGTGAATTACAATTGACCAAGAAAAACGTGTACGCGTTCAGAGCTGCGGCAGAAGCTCTGGCGTCGCGTAAACGGGCGGACAGTATCTGAAGCCAAGACGACGCCGCGCTCTCACGCTTTCCAGTCCTTTGGTGATCAGTCCGGGTGTTGACCGTACAGCGGCGTTGTCTGCGATCGGGCTCACAACAGCGAGATGAGAGAAGACGAGACTGTCTCCGCTTGCACGGTGCTCTTGTGCCCCGATATGTTACTATAATACCAACTAGGGCACGATTTTGCTCAGTTATCAGAGCGCCTACACCGGCCAGAGTTGGGTGCCTAGCCTAGATTGATTGACGGCTTTTAGCATGCTTGTCTTTCTTTTCACACCGGGGAGAAGCTCCAGTGGGCGTGACTTTCGCTCAACCTCTGCTCTTTCGGTGTCCTGTGTGCTGCGTACGTGTGCTTGTTGTGTGGCGTTTGTTCCTTGTTTTCTCCCTCTGAATTCTCGCATGATCAGATTCGGCAGGACACGCTCCAGAGGCTCAACCCCACGCCGTACAAGGTGTGTCGGACAGTAAATGCAAGCTCCGAACGAACTATTGAACGCTATTCATTCGGCGACGTACATTTTCGAGTATTTTTCTGTGCCCAGTGGATGGACGGTTTCGCCGTTGGCGGCTTCCGGTTTGCTTTCAGCAACTTTCGTTGAGTTGGCGCGCGCGCACACGCTGTGTTCAATAGGACGACTCCGTGCCATCCTGGTTTGTACAGGCAGCAAGGCGGACCGTCGTGAACGGAAACTCTTTGAAAGCACCTGGTGTGAGAGCTGGTTTGACACAGACAAACATCACACACACACACACACACACACACAGAGAGAGAGAGAGAGAGAGAGAGAGAGAGAGAGAGAGAGAGAGAGTTTTTTCTGCAAGAGGGCTTGTTGTTGGTAGCACACACCCTGATGCGGTTGGACATACGCGAAACTTCCCATGCGCCCTTCCAACCCCGTTCTGTTGCTCTGTTTTTTGTCGTCATCAGGTGTCCGTGAGCGAAGGTCTGCATGACTTTCTGCACTCACTGTGGGAAAAGGAGGCACCCATCAGGGAGCTCAGCTAAATAGACGACGGCAAAGATTAAGAAAAACGGGGGAAGCCAGCGGTGTGTCTTGCATAATAGTGTTGCTATGCAGTCTAGCTCAAAAAATAAATTTGAACGAAGCGGAGAACGTGAGTGGTATTTATTGCTTTGCCGGAAGGAAACGAACGTGCGGTCGTGTTTCAGCGTAGTGCTTCCTGGCGCCTTGTCGATTCCCGCATGTCCCCTCTCTGTCCCAGCGCTTCGTCTACTGGTTCCCGACATGTGTACGCCACCATGGGCCCGTGCCGATGCGTCAACGGGTCTCTCTTCTCTCCTGTTGCCCTAGAAGCCGGGGCGTGACTTTGGTGGAAGTCCCGGGCCTGCATTGGCCTGACTGGGGTGTCGTTTCGGACAGGGGCACATACATGTGTTGTCACGTTCGTGTTTCGTTCACGTTGGGTTTGAGCAGGGACAGAGACACGCTAGTGTGGCATGATGAAGTCATGGAGGTCCCACGAAAACAGTTGAGCAACTCCAGATTTACGAGCAGAAACAAGTTTAGGCAGGCAAAAACTGGGAATGGTGGAACGGGACAGAATCGTACAGTGACACGTATAAAGGAGAAATGAATTGCTAGGATTTGAGCGAAGAATAGGAAGGAGTTTATTAGTAGGGGAGGTGATGAACAGTAATGCAGCAGGTGTTCACGTAGAAAAGATTCAAAAATGGCCACATGTGATTTCTTTAGAATATGGAGCACCCATCGGTGTCATTGCACCGGGGGCGTGTTGGGAAATCTACAGTGAACGAAATGATAAAATTGCATTTCCGCACCGGTATCGATGTTATGGCACTCATCGGTGTTACGCACCGGGGTGCGATAAACCAAGATGGGAATGATGCAAAGTAGATCGCACTCCGGTGCCATAACACACACTGCCACGGTAGCAATGCTTGTCCGTCGTGCTACTGCACTTTGTTAGTGACAAAGCCATCGGCGTTACGCACCGTCCCGCATCATGACAGCGACACAAAATACGAAAATATCATACAGGACCGGCACGGTTGCCCGCGAGGCAAGTTCCACTGCCAATAATTCTGCATCTTTCAATATCCGTGGAACTTTTATTCGCATAGCCCACCCCTTGCCCGACCCTGCCTCAAATGCCGATCTCGAGCTACAGTGTAAATCTCGTGGCGCCTGGAGTATGGTTCGGTGTGGAATCGCAAACTTCGTTGCGCCCCCGAGTTTGAGCAGCTTCCGCCTCCTGTGGCCGGCAAGAGTCGACCTTGACTGTTCCTTGCCCTGTTTCGCCATGAGAACGGCCGGTTGAACAACGATAGAGGGTCCAGCGTGCTGCGCGCCACACTCTTTTTTTTTTTATTTTTTGCGTTTATTCTTGAGTGACCACTGTGCACATGCGGCTGCTGCTGCGGTTGCTGCTGTTATTCTCGGAATGTGCTGCAATGGTCGTACGGTTATCGTAATCAGGTTTGACAACAGTCTGCTCGTTCGTATAGCGGTAGCGGTGCACATCTATCGCGACGGCAAGCAAGCGCGTTGAGATAATTGTTCGTCCGTCGTGCTTCCAGTCTACAGGCGTGTTCTTCTTTGTTGCCACTTCATACCAGAAAAGAAAGAAGGTCTCCACCAACTTACAGCATCTCCTACAGCAGTTTGGAAACGACGACTAGACTATTTTTCTTTTGTCGTGTTTGTTGTTGCTGAGCGCACATCGGGTGTCGCCGTTCGTTACACGTGTTCAAGCCTGCGGTGGGCCAGAGGGATGAGAGTGGGTGTCTTCTCTAGAGTTCATGCCTTGTCTTCTCGAGTCTCCCTTCCTTTAGTCTACCTCTCTCTCTCTCTGTTGCATTTTCGCCGTTAGGGTCCCAGTAACATCGAACGTCAACGGCAATCGTTTTGCATCTTGCTGAGTAGGAGGCTACCCGTGTACCCGGTTGCTGCATGTGAGGCGATGGGCGCCGCCTCTTTCCGTCAAGCAATGCACATGGCCCCTACGGTTCGCCGCACATGCACTGTTGTGTATCAGCTTCCAGCGGTTCAGAGCGGCGACGATGTTTTTCGCCGGTAGGGCCCCAGAACAACGCGAACCGCGATTGTTTCATTGTTTTGGGGTCCCCCACTCACCCAACCCACCCATGATTTTTTTTATTTTTTATTTTTCTTAATATGACACCACGAAGCCATCTCCATCATAGAAAAGAGTCTGAGACAGATTAGCAATGGATTCATAGCGTCAGAAAAGTAGTTTTTTTTGTGTTTCCCTGCCGACTAACAACCTCGGCTACTGCAGTGCAAATTTCATGGCGCCTCAAGTACGGTTCCGTAGGGAATTGCAAATTACGACCCCTCCCCGACTTTGAGTATAGCTTCAACCTCCTGCGGCGGATAAGACCGACGTCAAACCCTAGATTTTGTCTGTCTGTGTCGCCATGTGGCCATCCACGAACAGCAAGCAGTTGGAGAGAGTCACAATAAAGTAAAGAGGGTCCGCTTCGCCACCAAGAAGACAGTTTTTTTTTCGATTCTTCTACAGCTGGATATGATGCTACCATGTATCTATCGGGTATAGCTGTGGTTGAGCTTGAGGGATAGGGTCTGTCTACGCAGCATACTATTCTGTGCGAGGAGTTAACGCCTTCCTCGCGTAACGATGCGCATCTCCCACGGCAAGCAGAATGAAGTACGTCGTCATGACGCTATTTCTTGTGACTACAAGTTCAAGTTCGCCCGGGCGTTATTACTAAACTTCAACTACAATACGTACCAGTTCGTGTACCCAGGTATGCATGTTGTGAGGTAGTGGGTGCTGCCCCTGCTGATTGCTGCGGTACATGGAAAGCTTCCGGTGGGTCAGAGCGGCAAGGGGGCCTTGTTTCTTCACTTGTTTCTTAGCTCTGCTCTCCTCTACTTCTTTGTTTCCTGTCGCTGGCGGTCTCTCTTTTTTTATAACCCTTCGTTCTTGCTTGCAAGAAACTGTGAGGATGTAAACTGGCTGAGTCTGGCTGTTTCTCTGGGTCCCCCGCCCACCCACGACACACCTGTCGGTTTGATTCGTGATCTCCAATATTCTCAGCAGTAGTTAGTTGTCTAGTCAGGACATGCGCTACTACTGCTGCGTCCGTCCATGGGTGGGTGCAACAGAAGAGCCCCGGGGACTGGTGGCCTTCTGACCTGATCGCAGAGAGAGAGGTTCCTGCCACTACCACAATACGACTCTTACTGAATGTCCATGACGGGGAACGCGTACTACGCCTCTTCTCTTTTCTTTTTTCCCTCTCTCCCGTCCGTTTCTTTCGTTTCGGAGAGGAAATCTACTCTAGAAAAGCAAGCGCATCTTCTGGGGTCCGCATTCATATAGTCCCGGATTCTTTCCCAGCGTATGCCTCTAGAGGGTATAAACGAGCTGCATCATGAATGCTATCTGGAAGGAGGTGATGCCATGGGCTGTTGGGCATCGCGAAGGTTTGGCGCCGTGAGGTGCCGAATGCGCCGGGGGAAAAAAAGTTTGTGCTGACGCAACGACCGTCAACGGCCGCGAAAAGCGGTTAGTAAGTAGTTAATTCAACGTTCGTGTTTTTGACCACCACGGGTTTGGTTTTCCACTGATAACTTCCCGAAGGAGGAAGCAACAGCAACAGAGAGGCCACCTGACGGGAGGCAGCTGTCTGCTCCATCTTTCATGCCCAAGGTTTGATGCCGTGGGGTTTCCTACCCTTTGGGAAAATGGTTTGGTTATAACCCTTAAAATATAAAATACCCACGTCAGAGAGCGATTGGTTCAAGTTTGCGGGGATTGCATGGTCATGGTTTGGTTTTTCCAGCGACAACTTTTCGAAGGAATAGTGTGATGAGAGGAGGCAACATCAGCAATGTAGCTCCAACCCAGCATCTTTCTGGTACCAGGGTAGATGCCTTGAGGTATCGTGAGTGTGGAGAAAAATGGTTGCAACTCCTTCTGTGTACATACCCCGCACGCTCCAAAAAAACTTGAAAAAAAGAAGAAAATACTTCAAGTTTTTTGTCGAAACTTCCTGCAAATATAAAAAGCGGAGAGTTTGTCTAACCGGGTCACCCACACCACAAACAGGCAACCACAGCCAGCTGCAATCCCCCCAAACCGGTTTGACGTTGTTGTTGAGTGCCACAAGCGGTTACGGGGCCACCTACGCACGCTCGGTGTGTGGCTCGCTCTGCCTGCTCCCGAAAGAACCGAGGGATGAAACAACCCAGCGCGACCCCAAAACGTGTCCACAACGACACACCGAGCAGTTTATTGGAACACATGCATGTTTTGTTTCCGCACGAACGACAAATTCATCAGAGAGATTTCTTCCGCCCCCACCATGCCTGCTGGTTCCTGTTGCGCCCGGAGAGTCCATGTGTGATGCATAACTATCTACCTCCGGTTGACATTGTTCGCGGGGTATACACTCCTGTTAAAATTCGGCGCATCCCACGCGCCTGACCACACCTGGCAATCTCATATATATGCGTACTGCTCTATATATATGTACATACGGCCAAGATACCGCAAGAGAGAGGTGGAGGAGATGGCACCCCCCTATTTACAATATGCATGTAGACCGATCAATACAACTTCTTCACAACTCAAGCTTACACCACCAATAACGGTGGTTTCGGAAGCATCTCGTCGGCGACTCTCCGTTGACGTACAGAGGGGGTCCCTGTTTGGTGCCGGTTGAATAGTGCCAAACAAAGCGATATCATATGTAGTGCCGGTGTTTTCGACGAGCACGCACTGAAAATCCAAGTTATATTGTCAGTACTTTGAATAGAGTGGGTCCGGTGTATGCGTACCATGCGTGGTTCCGGTGAATTTTCTGCGCATATGCCGGCACTAAACAGGGACCCCCTCTGTATCGGGCTCTCTTCCCACTCACTTGGTTGTGCAACAATCGAGGTTTGAAAGTCGGTCTAGGGAGGGTGCCATCTCTCTGCCTCTTACGGTAGCTTTTGACGTCATACTGGAGCGAGCAGTGGAGCAGACCCAACATTGAGTGCTTATTCATCCCATCATGAGTTCTTTGTTCTATAAGAACGCATACATCTGGCGTCGGCCATCTATGGCAGATTTTCGGGCGCACCGCGTCGGATCTGTAGTCTGTAGACTGAAAGTCTAGGATAGAGTCGCGAGGATTCATGATTTGTGTGGTATCATGATGTAAAACCTTAACCTTTCTGTGTTCCTCGTGATCGTTAGATACGGCATACACACATACATACATGCAATTGCTGTACCTTGGGTATCGTGCTCCATCCACAAGACGCAGCAGTGTTTGGAGATGGTGCATTTGGATGGGACGGAACAGGTTAGAGAGTTTTGACGCGTTATGTGAACGTGTAACCCTGTTCTGCACCTACTTAGAATACAGAGGAGGGGATCTGTTATTCATGATGGAGGACCAAGGCAATTCGCGAGGTA